CCGAGCCGAGGCCCCTGCTGCCGCCGTGGTGGGTCAACTTCGGCACCTCCTCAGACGCCCATGTCGACATCCTGACTGCGGGGCGGCGGCGGTGGCGTCTCGGACTGCCACCGAGCGCCACACATCCGACAAGCATGGAGCCGCAGGCGGTTCGTTGGCCAAGCAGTGTTTGCATTTCCACGACTGGCTCTGCTCCGACTCTGGGGGGAGGCAGCCGTTGACGACGGCGACTGACCTCCGCCCTGGTCCCTGTCCTTGCCCTTGTTACTCCGCGTAAACCCCTCCGTCCGCCAGGCCATGGCGCAGTGTGTCAGTTCCGACGCGGGCCCTGGCTAAAGGGAGTAGGAGAGGGAGGGACAGTCCGCTCGGCCTGTGGGCAACCCGCCGTGGGCTACACCCCCTCGGCTGCGGACAAGTGCGGGGCCGCGGGGCGACGGTCTCGGTCTTGAGCCAGCATGGCTACGGAGTTCCTGCCTCCTCCCCCGTTGCCCTCGTTCGCCTGTCCGCTCCCCGCGCACCATTCCCCCTCATTGCTCATCCTTCATCTTCCTTCCTTTATCTTCCCCCTCTGTCCTAATCTAAACACCATCCCCCCTCCTCATCGCTCCTCCTTCGTCCTCTGCTGTCAATCCTCTTCCTTCCTCATCCCCTCCCCCTACATGATCCCTCCTCTCATCTCGTCCTCCCTCATCCCTCATCCTTTCTTCTCCTCCTTCCTCCTCCTGTGCACCATCCAGGATGGTGCATGGAGTAGGAGGGGAGGGAGATCCTCTAGGGAGGATCTTCCTCCCCTCCTAGCAGGAGGGGATCTCGCCGTCCGTCGGTGGACGCCGGCGGCGGTCGGCGGTGGGTGGCCGTCCCTTGGTGGTCGCCGGCGGCGGTCGGTGGTCGCTGTTCGTCGGTGGTCGCCGTCCGTGGGTCGGTTGCCGTTTCTGTGGGTCGGTTGCCGCCGGCGGTCGGTCGCCGTGCAGCGCCGCGGCCAAGGTCCGGCGGGAGCCCCTTGCGCGCGAGCCCGCAGAGCGCCCGCGCCCTGAGGGGCTGATTCCACCTGGCCTGCCGCAGGGCGTCGCAGGGTGGAGGGAGGAGGAGGAGAGGAGGAGGAGCAGGAAGGAGAGAGAGAGAGAGAGAGAGAGAGAGGAGGGGGAGAGGAGGAGGGGGAGGAGGAAGGAGAGAGCGAGGAGGGAGGAGGGAGAGGAGGGAGGAGGAGGGGGAGGAGGGAGGAGGAGGAAGGAGAGAGGCAGGAAAGAGAGGAGGAGAACGAGGAGCAGGAGAAGGAAGAGGGGCAGGAGCAGAATCAGGAGGAAGACGAGGAGGAGGAGTGAGGAGGAGGAGGAGGAGGAGGAGGAGGAGGAGGATGAGGGGCAACGTTGGGAGGGGGTTGAGCTGAGGGGTAAGGGATGCCTCGGCCCCACTCGTCGCCGACACGGGCCCGATAGCCTGCCTCGCCGAGGAACGTGCAGATTTGCTATCGGGGGCATCTCGCCCATCGATCGGCGCCCTGGAAACGACAGGGCCGTATTGTGTTACCGGTTCCGTTTTGCCGTTGTTTTGCCGGTTCCGTCGCCGTTCTTCTACGGGTTCCCGCTCCAGTTCCAATCCTGGAGCCGTTTTTGTTGCCGTTTCCGGTCGCCGTTTTTTTGCCGTTTCCATTTTCAAGGGCCTTTTTTTCGGAAGCGGTAACAAAAACGGCCCTGCCGATTCCGGGGCCCACTAAGGCCATTCCTATGGGGGCGAAGAATGACATAAACATAAAAACTCTGAGGTCCGCGCAAATTTCGCGGATCCGCGCTGGACCCCCCTGGCGGCGCCTCCGGCGCCGCCCCTGGCGCGCTCAGGGGGTCCTTCGCGGATCCGAGAAATCCGCGCGGACCTCTGAGTTGTTATGTTTATGTCATTGCTCGTTCCCCTAATTCCCCCTCTGGCTTCCCCCTGTCAAGAGGAAACCCGAGATTCGGATACTCTCGTTGGCGCTCGCGGGATTTTTACAGCCTCGGGGTGCTGCCCAGGAGCTTCGCCCGGCTGGGATCGTTTGGGGAGGGGTGTCCTGAAAAATGTTGTGAGAAATGTCGGCGAAAGAAAACTGTCGAGGAACATGTCGTGAACCATGCTTTGGGTAAAAGCCATACTGAGGTGACTCTTGGGATTGGCATAGTTTAGCAATGATAGCTATCATTTAGCGAATATATATATATATATATATATATATCGAGACGGATAACATCATCAGGATATCTATGTAGCAGAGGATATATATATAGAGAGAGAGAGAGAAAACAAATGTATGTGCTAAGTTCGAACGTGCCATTTTCATACACCGTATATAAATATAAATGTGCATACATATGTACACATTTCAGACATGTACACATACATACGTCAACATAGACATGTACACACATGTGCACGCGCCCGCACATACATATATAAGTATATGCACATGTGCATGCATCACACACATACACACGCGCACACACAAACACACACATACACAAACACACACGCACACACATACGCACCCACACACACACACGTGCACACGTGTATACACGCATATTATAACGCAAGGCAAACCCCAAAGCCATCTCCTGGGCAATGCGATGCTTCGCTATGCATTGCAGATGCGTTATGCCATGCTGCGTTATGCTATGCTGCTGTATGCCAATGTGCATGCCTTGTGATATGTTGTACCGTGCTGCCACGCTGCGCTATGCTATGCGTATGCTGCGTTATGCCATGCTCCGCCATGCCACGGCCGCGCGCCGCCCAACCGTGGGGTTCGCGAGGCGCGCGCGCCCCGCCCCGCCGCGCGGCGCCGTGGCGAGCGGGGGGCATGTCCCCCGCGCATCCTGCAGGCCGACCCCCGCGGTGAGCCTGCAGACATTGAAGGTGGCGCCCAAAGGCGCCGCCCTTTCAGCCGCCGCCGGGCAAAGCGCCAGCGGCGGCGCCCGCGCAGGCGCCCACGGCGCCGCCCTTCCAGCCTCCGCCCAAGGCGGTTGGATGTGCGCCTTCCAGGGAGCCGCCTTGCAAGGCGGCGTGCTTGCAGGTGCGCGCGCGGCCGAAGGCGGAGGCGCCTGCTGGCTCGCCGCCAGCCGCGCCGATCGATGCGCCGCTCGATGGCGCGGCGGGCGCCGCCGCCAGCGCGGCCGAGCTCGTGGCCGAGCCCCGCCGCGTTCCGCTGCGCGTGGGGGACGAGGCGGCCGCGGCCGAGCTCCGTCATGTCGGCGGGCTCGCGCCTGCAGGCGTGCAGATGGCGGCGGGGCGGTACTGCGAGGGGGCGTTGTTCGGCGGCACGGAGCTGTGGCCGTGGGCCCCCCCTCCCCCCCCCCGAGCCGCCCCAGCCAACCTCCTGGGCGGTTCCAGAGGGGGCGCGCGTTGGCGGGCGCTTGGCGGAGCCGTTGGCACGCGTCCCCTCCGCGTTGGCCGCCAGCTGGCGGGCCTTCGAGGCCTTGCAGGCGGCGGCCTCGCACGCGACGGCGACGACGACGATGACGACGAGGTGGAGGAGGAGGAAGAGGAGGAGGAGGAG